TATACAAACATTTCATTAAATCCTCACAAGAATTTCATGAAATAGATAGTCTATCCATTTTGAAGATGAGAAAACTGAGTTCAAAGGTCCTAACAAATTTCTCAAAGTTATCTACTTCTCAGGCTTATTTTCAGATATTTAACATGACAGTTAAATGATTCTAAAACTCTAGAGAAAAGCAAGAAATACTAATTTTAAATTTTTTATTTCATTTCTGTTTCATATTATTTCATCTACAACTTACACATTCCCAATAAGTTACAAGTTTTGTTAGTCCTACAAGAAAAAATAAGCCTGAAAAGGGCTTATTTCTTTAGCATTTTTTTAAATTAAAAACTTTACTTCAGTCCTTGGTCGAAGAGAGATAAGTAAATTATTAACACAAGAGTATTACATCATATTAGATACCTAAACTTAGTGTTTTGTTTTTCCAAATTACGTACTAAAGGAATCTAGACATTTATTTTCTCTCTTGCTTTAAAATCATCAAGCAAATCAAAATTTTGTTTTTTTAATTTCTTATTTCACATTCTTTTATTTCTGATAAATTAGCCTTAATTGAAAAGTTGAAATATTTTAATTAAACAAATCTCAAGTTATAGACAAAGAGATTGCATAAAAATACCATATTTCATAAACTTTACAGTGACATTTTAGACATTTTAACAACTCGAAGTTGGAATGAATCTTTCATCCTAAAGTATGTCGTGATTTATTAGCAATGCTTTTTTTTACTTGGAGGTATATAAATTAACAGTGAAACTTAGAATCAATAGCATCTGGAATTTGATCAAACATAGGAGTTTTAAGCAACACTACATTTCCTGATTTTTTACAATAGAACTTTATTTCAAAATGCTTAATGATATCTTGTAATAAAAAATAAACCTGTCCATTACAATCTCAGCAGGATGGCATAAGAGAATAAAGTATCATTTGACAAGAGTTTATCACTTATCATTATAATCAATTAATATTTATTTAGCGCCACAGTGTTTATCAATCTCTGGTATAAGCTATTTTTATTCCTACACTTACAAAACTGAAATTCTTTTTAACTTTGTCCATTAGAAATTTATGTTAAAATTTAAACACATATTAGAATGAAACATGAATCTTGTTATAGTTATCTTAGAAAATCTTATACTTTAAAACATGTTTAGATTTTTTGAAGGATCATAACTTGCTTCTGCTATCTAGTAGGAACTCATGAAAAACAGAGCATGCCAAATTCTAAAAGTGCCAAATAAAGACATACCTGACAGTTTATTTGTAGTTCACTTTGAAGACCTTGGTACATTTTGATATTTTATTATTTCAGATTAGGCAACAGGAATTTTGGAAGTTGAGTTTTTCAGACGCTATCATCTGAATGTCTCCCAAAATTCACATGTTGAAGCCTAATCCCCATCCTGGTGGTACTAAGAGGTGAGGCCTTTTGAGAAATGGTTAAGTCATGTGTGCTTCCTCCTCATGAATAAATTAGCATCTTATAAAGGGCTGGAGAGAGCTAGCCTAGGTGCCTCTTGCCCTTCCATTCCTTTTACCATGTAAGGAGACAGCAAGACAGCCTCACCACACACCAAATGCCAGCACCTTGATCTTGAAATTTCCAGTCTCCAGAACTGTAAGAAATAAATGTCTGCTTCTTATGAATTACCCATAGTATTTTGTCACAACAGCCCAAATGGACTGAGACACTAGCCAAGTAAGAATTTATTTCTGTAAAATAGAGAGAAATATGTACTTCAGGGCAAAATGAGTACTTCAGGGTTAAGCTAGCAAGCACAAAGCAATGTCTCTCAAGCAATTCAATTAGAAAGAGAATAATTTTTAAATTTAATTTTCTTTGAGCTGTGGAGTACATGTGAGGATTTACTATATAAATAAACTGTATACAGGTGAGGTTTAGGCTTCTAGCAAGCCCTCTCTCCTCCTCGTAGTGGACCTGGTGTTCAGTGACTGGTAGCGTGCACCTTATGCCATCTCCCTTCCCTTCTTCTTTAGCCATGTCCAGCATCTCTTGTTCCCACCTTTGTTCTCCTGTGTCCAGTGATCAGGCCTGCTTATGAGTGAGAACATGCGATATTTAGTTTTTTGTTTCTGTGATAGTACACTTACAATGATGGTCTCCAGTTGCATCTGTGTTGCTGTAAAGGGCATGATTTTGTTCTAGAAAAATAATAAATTTTAAGATTATCAAGTAAGCTTCTGTATTGCTTTAGATAAAACTAGGTTTTAAGTTTCTCTCTGCATGTTTATAAAACAACAACAAAGCACTGATGATAAGCCTATATTAAATAACAAGTATAAATTTGGTATAGCTTAGAATAAGTAAAGTCACTTGAGTTAAAAAATACAGTAATCGAACAAGTTTTAGAAATAGAAGCTTAAGAGAATTTGTTAAACAATTTTCCCCATTAAGACTAGATGTATAAAACATGTATTTTTAACAAGTATGTCCACAAAGCTCTGCTGTAAAACAGTTTTCATCAAAAAAAAAAAAAACCTTTAGAAACCACACATTTCTCAGAAAAGTAGGGTCCAACTAGAGCTGGGTAAATTAGATAAGATTTAGCTCTCACTTCAATTACAATTATGTTAAAATTCTTCACTGAAAAGTGGAATAATACAAATAATCACTTAAAAAACTGAGATGTTAATGATAATGTAATCCTAAGGCTTGTAGAAAAGATTGCCCAAATTCTCATGTCTCTTCCTTTCTCAAGTATTTAACATTCTTTTGTCAAAAAAGTTCCTTATAAAGGGCCCTAAGGCATATATGCCGTTTTCTTTTTAGAATGTTAATAATAAGCCCATTTTCCTTTATGACTGCATTCCTTTAAAGAGTTTTGCGAACATTGAAATAATTAGGCAAAGGCATTTTCTAGATTACAAAATGACATCACTTTTTGCAAAATTTCTATCTAGTCTTTAATAAAGAAATATCAAGCAATTCACAAAATAGTCATCTATATTATTAAGGACTTTTGTGTGCTATTTTTTTTTTTTTTTTTTGAGTTGGAGTCTTACTCTCTCACCCAGACTGGAGTGCAGTGGCATGCTCACGGCCACCCCAGTGTCGGCCTGCTGGGCTCCGGTGATCCTTCCACCTCAGCCTTCCAAGTAACTAGAACTACAGGCTTGCACTACCAGGCCTGACTAATTTTTTGTTTATTGTAGAGATGAGGTCTCGCCAAGTTGCCCAGGTGGGTCTCGAACCCGCGGGCTCAGGCAATCCACTCACCTCAGCCTCCCAAAGGCGCAGGATTACAGGCTGAGCCACCAAGCCCGACTATGTGTGCTATTTTAATTAAAAATTTAAGTTAATATTACAGTTAATCCACCCTGCACACATAGTTAATGCCAGATTTCTTCACTGATTTGACATATGTATTTCACTTTGATTAGAGTAGAAATAGCTATCATCTTAAAAAAGAAAAAAATTGGAAGAAATGAGAAGAATAAAGAAAAGATCTCAACCCTCTCCAGAATTTGCCAATTTATTGCAATTCTAGTTAAAGCCTAAGATGATTTAAGGTGGCAGAAATTATAAATATTTTAAAACAAAGGATTTTCAATATAATATACTCCTCTTAATGAAGAAAAATGATAATAACACTGTAAAACAAATTAGGCTTCACCTGCAAATTTAATAAAAACTAAAGTTGGAAAAAGATAAATGAAGGATCTTGGGCAATACCAAGGCAAGAATTTGGCTATTGCAGTAATAAATAAAATATGCAAAAACAGCATGACGCTATTAACAATTAAAGGGAGTACTCCATGTAAAATAAGATCATTATTCCAACCTGTCCAATACTGATTAGAACTCCACTTCTAGTGGTTTGTTGGAGAATGATTTGATGAAAGGGATAAAGAAAATGAAATGGCTCAAGACTTTTCAAGAAGACAGGAGGAAAGAGATATTTCCATTTGGTGAGAAAAGAATGTCAAGTGATTACAGTCAACAAACACTTTAGATAAATGATCTGACCAGGACCAAGGTTTGTTGAGAAAACCTGCCATAGAACTACATATTATTTTTCAGTGGGTGTGTTTATACAAAGTAGCTGAGAGAATGCTAAGATATAATGATAAATTTCCATTTTTTTATAAAGGAAAGAGTAAAGGAATTTTGTGTGCTATCAATTTGGAGTCTATAATTTGTTTAAAAGTAAGAACATCTTCCAAATTTGTGTGACATAAATGGCATAATCCTTAAATTATTATTATCCTTTAAATAATCCTTAATTTTTAAAGATTTATTTATGAGTGTTTCATTTATGTACCAGATTATATCTGATCATTTATCTTACACTAAAACAGATTTATTTCTTTTTCCCCACATATTTCATAAGTGGGAGCTTTTGTCTAAGGTAATTTTACTGAAAGAATTACACCTTATAAGTTGTAATTTATACTTAACTCATAGATTGAATTTGGTCATAAAGACAGAGAAGAGTTATAAGACCACAAAACATTAGATTATATCACACAATTTTTTCATGCAGTTTTGGAATTTTCTAGCATATTAAATTATGAAATGTGCATTTATATGTCTAATTTCTTATTAAATGTATTAATGAATGCTGGAAAAATTACAAAAGGTCAGTTTTTGGAAGTGTACAGCTTCCTGGTACCAATCTCAAAAAAAAAATGTAAGCCGGGCTCGGTGGCTCAGCCTGTAATCCCGTACCGTTGGGAGGCTGAGGTGAGTGGATTGCCTGAGCCCGCGGGTTCGAGACCCGCCTGGGCAGCGAGACCTCATCTCTACAATAAATCAAAAAATCACCGGGCGTGGTAGCTCGCGCCTGTAATTCCGGCTACTCGGAAGGCTGAGGCGGAAGGATCGCCGGAGCCCAGCAGGTCGAGGCTGCGGTGCCGGGAGCGGCCACTGCACTCCAGTCTGGGTGACAGAGTGAGACTCCAACTCAAAAAAAAAAAAAAAATGTAGAAGGAGTTTCTAGTTAAGATAACACAATACGTGAGCGATATCTTTTTTTTTTTTTTTTTTTACAATAATGTCAGGTTTAATCTGCCAATTATACAAGTTGAATTTGTAGAACATGTTTTGCCTGGGTGCTACACAGTGAACAGAGGTTTCTTGAAATGATCAATGGGTAGGGTTAAAAATGGGCCCTGGCCTTGGCTAGGTGGGTAGGGATGAGGCAGGGAAGAGTAAAAAGAGGAGAGGCCTCAGTCACAGGACTGGCCAGTAACAAGCCATGATCCTCAAGGACCCAGGGACATGGGCAACCAGATGACAGCCCCTCTCTGAATGAGCACCCAGGCAACACAGACCAGGACTGGTTGCTGCAAACTTGTCAGCAGCTGCCTCCTGGCACAACCGCCCACTAACGTGCAATCTACCAGACAAATGGAAGCTCTTCTTACCCCACCTCCCAGGCACCCTCCCAACATGGGTTCTGAATTCTAAAAACAGCGGAAACATTCAAATGGTTACATATGAAATGCTGTCCTGCATCTTTCTGTCTCAAAGATAGCAGCTGCTCCTCCCCCAGCCCCACCCCCTGCATTCCCCCAAACAATTTATGTGCCAGGATGAAAAGGATGCCCCAGGCTGTGGGGGGCTCCTGGCCACGAGGGGCTGTTGCAGCGGCACCAGGGCACAGGGTGGGAGAGACACAGCAGAGATACTGGCAGCATGACCCAGTTCTCTGGCATCTCCTCCCACAGTCATGCTTACTTATTCAGAGAGAGTGACTGCATTCGTCTTCCTGACAACGTGGCATCATCTTTTGCTTCTCTCTTCTTTATTCCTGGCAGGCCCCTTCCGCTGTTTCCAGATGATGGCCAAAGTCAGCCTTGGATTACTCTGCCTTCCCAGCTAAATGCATTTTCATGTAACGCTCTTTTGCCTTCTACTTCTCAATTTCTTCTAGTTCTCTCCTTGAAAGCAATTTTGACCCGTCTAGATCCAGTTGGGTAACCTTTTTGGTTGTCTGTGCCATCCGGTTGGGGTTCTCGATGTCGATGAGCTCTTCGACACCTTTGCTTTTTGCTGGTAGTCATCTTCATCTTCACTCTCATCTGAGTCTAGAAATCTCTTCTCCTTTTCGGGACCTGCAACCCCATCTCCAGCTTCTTCTCCTTGTTCCTCTTCTTCCCTGGCCTTCTGCTTTTCAGCCTGGTGTTGTGTGTCGATCTCCTCAGAGCTCGTATACTGCCTTGCTCGGCCTTTGTGGCCCCCTTTTCTCCCTCCTTTAGGCATCGTGGCTCCGGGGGCTGCGGTGGCGGCGGCACCTCGAACTCGTGAGAAATATCTTAAGCAAAGCATCTGGGCTGCTGTCCAAGTTACCCATAAGAAGGAAGCTGCAATAATTCTTATTTTTAGAAGACTCTGTTGGTCTGTTAGAAACAATTTTATTGAAAAACATACTGTTACTTTGTTATTAAAAGTAGGAGTCAAAGAGTTAAATGTCAAATCCTGCCTTCATGTCTTCCTGAACAATTTAATCTACTGTACCTCAAATATATTGTCTACAAAGTAAGGTAATAGAATCTTCCCGATTTTTTCATGAGAATTAAAAGAGATAACGCATATAGTTCACTTAGCAGAGTGTTTAGTATATAGTAAACAATATTGTTAGCTAATAACAATTTAAAATGCAGTGATAGTATAATTACTAATAAGTCCATAATAAAGATCACTTTTTATGCTATCAATCTTTTTTTAATTTTATTATTTCCATGCTATACTTTAGTTATATTATTAATTACACTATTTACTGATATGGTCACATCTTAACAGCATCACTTTCCCTTCTGGTTGTACTAGTCAGGAGAGACTTCATAAAGAAAGCAGAATTTAATCTGGGAATTGAGAGCTAAGAAGAGAGGAAACTCCCAAGGGGCAGGGACTAGGTAACAGCAGGAATGAGCAGACATGTTCATGGAATTGTCATAAAAACAATATAATAGGGACAGTTGGTATACTTTGGATATGGTGGAAAAGGTGTTGATTAAATTGAAAATAATATTAGGTAACATGAAAATAATGCTGGGTAAGTATAGTAGTACTCCTTTATTGGTAAGGAATACATCCCAAGACCCCCAGTGAATGCCTGAAATCACAGATAATACCAAACGTTTTTTCCTATACATAAATATGTATGCTAAAGTTTAATTTAGGCACAGTAAAAGATTAACAGCAATAACTAAATAAAATAGTACAATTATAACAATATACTGTAATAAAAGTTACAAGAATATTCTCTCTCTCTCTCTCTCTCTCTCTCTCTCTCTCTCAAAATATCTTAACATCTTAACACTTTGGACCACAGTTGACCACAGGAAGCAAAATCATGGATAAGAGGGGGAAACCACTCAATGAGAGAAGAATCTACAGAGGTCCTTAAATAAAATCAAAAAAGGAATCCATTCCTTCTACGAAACTCAAATGAAAATAATCATGAAGTCTTTTCTTTATCAGACACGTTTGTGATTAAAGTAGTGCTGAAAGATGATTGGTTTATTGATGGAATGCAGAGTCCACTGAAAAAGTTAAGTTGAAGATGTCAGCTAGGCTCTGTGTTGCCCCATACGGTAGCCACCAGTTACATATAGCTATTGAGGACTGGAAATATGGCTAGTCTCACATGAGATGTGCTATAAATGTTAAATATAAACTAGAGTTCCAACACTAGAACAAAAAGATACATCATCTAATAAGATACATATCCTATTAATACTTATGATGTTAATTACATTTTGAAATGCTAATATTTTAGATAAATTGAAATAAATAAAAATATATTAAAATTAATTTTACCTTTTAATTTTTAATGTCTACTAGGCAATTTAAAATTATATATGTGACATATTATATTTCTATTGAACAGTTTATTGTAAAGTTGCATCAATGAAATGATAAAATTGTGCACTACCGTGGTAACTGTACAAACAAAACAAAATAGAAGAAAATATTACAAAAGAATAAACTGAATAGTTCAACACACAAGAAGAGGGAAAATAACCTCAAGAATTTAAAATTCAATGACTAGCTTTACAACTGGCAGAAACAAGTTCATAGGTGGGAAACGGATGTGAAAAGAGGATTGGAATATTTACTTTTAGACATGCTAAGTATGAGGTGGCAGTAGAATATGCAAAAGGAGAAAACTTAAGGTGAAGAGAAAAGATAGAGGTACTGAATACAGCAAGAAGGATATTATGCATATGCTGAGTAAATAATTTTAGTGAAATTATCAGGATAAATGCCAGATTGTAAAGAGTTAAGGATAAATAGTAAAAAAAAAATCAAAGACAATGAAGTACAGATTGCTCTGTTGAGAAGTTGTCACTTAATGGAAAATGAGAACACAGAATGAGGGCAAAGGGTAAACACTGTCAAGGAAAAGATTTGGGTCTGGGTTTTGGCTTCCAGAAGAGAATGGAATCCACATGCTTACCTTTTCATTCCATCTGGCAGTATGTCAGACATGCTTCCAAAAACCACATGGTCAGATAGTTCCTCAGGCCTCCAGACTCAGACCAGGACTTACACTATTGGCATTCTACAACGTGCTTGTCAGGCACCCAAGTCCTTCAAGCTCTGTGGTGGAAGTAGGAACAAACACAGGCAAAGAAATGGTCACTTCAGCACTGACAATGGAAAAAAAGTGATTCAAGCAAGTGAAATGAATAAGATCCCAAAAGAGTCCAGCCTTTTAGGAGATGTACAAGCAGCTTGGGGGTGGGGAAGAGTGGAAGGGATAAATCAAGGAATGAGAGAGTAGTGAGAGCTCTGAATGGAGAGTCAAGCAAGGAGTTGATCGGAGGTAACTCGGCCACAGTAAAAATCAGTTAGAACTTTATCCCTAGGATCAAGGGGAGCCATTAAAGAGTTTTAAACAAGGAATGATATGGTAAAACCTGTACATTTTTCATGGACTTGCCAACAGATTGTAGGATAGACTGAAGGAGATGGGAAGCAGAAATACACGTTAGGAAACTATTGCAATCATTCTAGAAAGATAACAAAGGTCTTAATTTTCCTTGGAGAAGTTTTTTCTCCATCAGAGCTTCACTGCCTGAGCTTGCAGTGGCTCCAGCTAATTGTGATCACTCCCTTATTCTTCATTGCCAAAAGGATGCAAGAAAGATTTTGAATATATAAAGAAACAGAAAACCTATGGAATGGTAGAAAATGTTTGCAAATTATGCCTCAGACAAAGAACCAATATCCAGAATCCATAAGGAACTCAAATAACTCAGCGCGCGCACACACACACACACACACACACACACACACACACACACTCCATCAAAAAGCGGACAAAGGACATAGATATTTCTCCAAAGACACACAAGTGACTAATAAACATATGAAAAAAATGTTCAACATCACTAATCATCAGAAATAAACAAATTAAACCACAATGATACATCATCTTACACCAGTCAGAATGATCATTATTAAAAAGTTAAAAAACAACAGTTGTTGGCGCGGATGCAGAGAAAGGGGAATGTTCATATATCGTTGGTGGGATTGTAAAATAGTTCAACCTCTATGGAAAACAACGTGACAATTTCTCAAAGAACTAAAACTAGAACTGCCATTCAACCCATAAGTCCCACTATTAGTTATCTACCCAAAGGAAAGGAAATTATTATATAAAAAAGATACTTGTATGACTTGTATGTTCATTGTAGCATTATTCACAATAGCAAAATCATGAGACCAACCCAAGTACCCATCAACAATTGACTAGAAACTATATATATATAGTTTATATATATATAGTTAAATATATATATATATTTACAAACACTGTGGAATACTGCACAGTCATAAATAAAAACAAAATTATGTCCTTTGCGGCAGCATGGATGGAGCTGGAAGACATCAAGAGGCCTCATGGGGCCTTACTCCTTATGATCAGTTGAAAGAAAAAGAGAAGCGTTGGGCCTGGTTTACAGTGGTTCTGTACCATATGCAGAAACTATCCAAAAGTGGAAAGCTGAGGCACTGCAGTTCCCCTCTAGGACTTCTCTGAAGGACAACAGTGAAGGCAAATCCTAACAGTGGGTAGAACTTCAGGATGTGCACTGGGTTGGACACTCTGCTTGAAAGAAGAAATGGCAAGATATGTGATTATATACAATTTATAGGCTGTAGCCAATGGTTTGGCTGGATGATCAGGGACTTTAAAGGAACATGATTGAAAATTTGGTAACAAAGATGTTAGGAGAGAGAGGTATGTGGATGGACCTCTCTGAGTAGGCAAACAACATGAGGATATTTGTATTCTATGTGAATGCTCACCAAAAGCTGAACTCAGCTGAGGAGAATTTTAGTCATCAGTGACTAGAATGACAACCCACTTTGTGGATACTAGTCAGCTTCTTTCTGAAGTCACTCCTGTCATTGCCCAATGGGTTTACAGGAATAGAGGTTATGCATAAGCCCAGCAACAGTGGACTTTCCAAGACTGATTTGGCTATGGCCACCATGAAGTGACCAATGTGCCAACAGCAGAGACCAACACTGAGCTCCCACTATCATACAATTCCCCTGGATAATCAGTCAGCTACCTGGTGACAGGTTGATTATGTTGAAGTGCTTCCATTATGGTAGGGGCAGCATTTAATCCATACTGAAATAGACATTTACAGATTTGTCTTCTAAGCACACAATGCTTCTGCCAAAAACTACCATCTCTTGGCTCACAGAATGCCTTATCCACCAACATGGTATTCCACATGGCATTTCTTTTGACCAAAGAGCTCAAATCACAGCAAAAGAATTATGGCAATGGGCCATGCTCATGAAATGTACTGGTCTTACCATGCTATCCTGAGGCAGTTGACTTAATAGAATAGTAGAATGGACTTTTGAAGACTCAGTTACAGCACCAGCTAGGTGGCAATACTTTGCAGGGCTGGAGAAAGATTATCCCCCTGAAGACTGTACATGCTCTGAATCAATATCCAATATATGGTAATATTACTCATATCCAAGATTCACGAATCTAAAACTCAAGTACTAAATTACCCCTACCAACCCACTAGCAAAATTTTTGTTTCTTATTCTTATGACCCTATGCTGTGCTAGCCTAGACTTCCAGAAGGAAGAATGCTTCCACCAGGGGACACAACAATGTTTCTACTGAACTGAAAATTAAGATCACCATCCAACCCCTTTGGGCCCCTTACGCGTTTTGTCCAATAGGCCAAAAAGGGAGTTACAGAGCTGGCTGTGGTAATTGA